TAATACATTTTTCGTGTCAAGTCGTTGGTTTATTCAGTACATAGCTGTGTAATAAGCGGGATAATGTGCAGCGAGGTGGTCAGTAATTAAAGAAGAACACTGACAGGTGAACAGGATTCAGAGCCTTACGTAACCACAACAAACTGTGTAATCTTCTGCAACATTGCCGTTATGAAGCCTAATAATTCCCCGATCAATCTTTCAAGAGCCGTATCGCCTTTTGCCCCCTCCCTTCATTAGAAGATTAGAATTGGTCTGAATGGATTTGCAGGGGGATTGTGTGACTAAACCCACCTGTTTCGCCTGATATTCAAACTAACAACTTCTGTTTATTTTCATGCATTGAGAGAAACAGCAGCAAAAGCTATCAAAAGTAGAAGTGGCCATGTGGTGAAATGGTCAATACAAAGTTATGCTTGTGAAATAAATATGTTTGAATTTAATTACATTTCTTACATAACAGTGGAAATAGCTCGTTAAAATTAAACTAATAAATCCACAGCCAACACTTAAATTAGGTTTCACTAGGCTTATGTTGCCTTTTGCCTCATAATGAAACAACTAATCACTTAAACTTGTCTATAATTTCATTTCATTTCATTGCGATGGGAAAACTTGTGTTAATTTGAGCGAATGAATAACTTATCCATGCTCTCAAATTGATAGTTAATGTGCACAAACATGGATGGAACTGTGTAACAATTTCACCAGTACTTGGAATGGTATGACTTGCTTGAAGTGAATATATCTTTCCTGGTTGTTAGAAAATGTTTTTTGCACTTATTGTACGTTGCTTTGGATAAATACGTCAGCCAAATGGAATGCAATGTAATGAATGGGACCAGATTATTGGTGTGGTTGGTAATGGCAAGGTCCACAGAGATTATTTTTCAAGGCGCTTTTATCATTTTACGTTGGAAAGTCAATTGACCACAAAGTGACGCAAAGCAAACCAGCACTTAAAACGTCCTACTTACCTGCAAAAAGTCAAAAGAAATGTCAAAAAAAAGCCCCACCCCCTTCATCCACTGTAACAATAATTTTTCGCAACATGCACCTGGTCTCCCATCCCTCTGACCCCCTCCCCCCACGGGAACTCCACCTTTCACAAAGAATATGTACACTAACACTTGAACCTGAACAAACATATGCACGTGTGCAATATGTGGTGTAATGTGTTTTGGGCCATAACATTAAATTACAACAGGATTGTACGGTTATGATTGCATAATAAGTTAGTTATGATATAGTTAAAACAATATTGGATGATAGTAAAACATTTTTAGTGTTTTGGACTGAGATAAATCATGGGTCAAAATTGACCTGCGAACACCATGAACGGTAACAGCTTTCGAACACAACACAAGGGTTAATGAGGATTATATTGGAAGAGGGCTCCCTATCAACAGAATAAGGAAAATAACACCGGATTCCTTAATTGTTTGTTCTAGCTTGATTTTCTGCAGATTTACAGACATCTCTTGCATTATGTAAGTCTATGGGAAAAAGTATTTTAGGGTTCAATGGCATCACATGACAGAACCTGAAATTGTAATTCCTTAGTTTTGTCAAATTGGCTTTAATGTCTGGTGCTGTTTCTGTGGCCTTATTTAGATGGCCATGCCGGCTACCTACGCTAGACAAAATGCTAGCTACCGCTAAGCCTCTGTTCCCATCACACTGATTGCATAATCCCACCATCAAGATGATAAGCATCCGCATCAGAACCATGGCTAGCTATTGTTGGTTAGCTGTTCGTTGGCTCACTGTAAGGATATGCCAATAGACTGTTGAATTAGACATCGTCGTATGTGATCCTTATCTATATGTAGCATAAGCCCATCTAACATGACACTGATCTGGAAACAACTTAGATGCAGGCAGGTATTGACAGTTACTATATACTCCTACCACTACTATTTCTGGATCCATTGGCCTTTTGGAGCAATGGGTTTTTGTCGGATGAATGATCGTTGGTCGAACGGGACATTATGCAGATTATAGGTGTTTCAGAACAATGTGCCAACGTAGCATTCAGTAGTCCCCCCTCAAAGAGCATAGCCCTTTCTGGAAAAAATCTCTAATTTATGTATTTATGTAGATTGGATTTGTACTGTATGTACATATGATTTCCACTCAAACTTGCACATTCACATGCTTTAACACCTTAACTTCCCTATGTGGATCAATAAAGGTCATCCTTATCCTATCATAATTTGATTGACTGATTCAATGCTTATGTGTTTGGTGGCGTGGTTTGGTCACTGGGGAGAGCGTAAAGGAGAAGTTGGGACTGTTTCTCCCTCCTGACCGTTCCTCTTTGTAAAGGCTGACAAGACAAGTGAAGCGGTGCCAGTCTTCTTCAGTCCGGGCTTGATGCTCCTCGTACACGCCGCTTCAAATGCTAATTGTCACATCTTTGCTTTGGACGATAACAGGAAAGCGTGACAAATGATGCAATTAATTCCGTGCGACACCAGCTGTGTCATGCGCAGGCAGTCCCACAGGAGAGGAGATGACTGTCTCACCAAGTGTGTAGCTTTCATTAGAACCTTTTCAAAATGGAGAGACAGAGCGAGGCGGCGAGAGCGGAGCTTACTTGCCTGGAATGACCCTATCGCATAACTCAAAACACTTCCAAACAATAAGAATTGATATTTTGAGGTGTAATGGACATGCTTTCAGACAGCATGTCATATTGAAAATGAAGCGTGGGGCCTCTTGAAGGACAAGCTGTTTAGGTGGCTGCTCCAGTCATTTTTTCTTTTTTCTGAGGCATTGAAGGGAGGATAAAGGATGAATCTCCCCTGATGCAGTTGGCTCATCTCCTACCTGAGCTGAAACCGGGCCAGGCCAGGTTGACCAAGCATTCCCTTTAACCCAGACATCTCCTCACCTGATTAGTTCCCTTGATTGATTTGGCTGCTCTGCCAGGTGAAGGATGGTAATTGGATACCAGGAAGCAAATGTGCTCGCTATGCTTTTGAATAAAGAGATGCAATCACCAGACACGGGAAGCCTGATGTGTGTGCAGCATTGAGCTTTACATGCAGGTGTGTTAATGCACCTTGCCACACCGAATGCCTCCTGCTTCATCACCCCTTAGTTTTGTGTTACTACTACTGTATGTAGTAGTGGAGTTTACACCAAAGAATACTCTTTAAATAGTTTGTGTCGGGTATATTATTTGAAACAAATAAATGGGCACTTTTTGAGATAAACTCAGTTGAGAGGAATTTTTTTGTTTTTTTGCCAAGGGTGACTAAAAATGGCACGATAGCGCAAGATAGCAAGTGAGTGCATACATTTTCAGACACAGTGGGAAAATGTATATTTCTCGATAGAAGTCAAGGGGAAGTGTCTGTTTGATTTGCAATGAAATTGTTGTAATTATGAAAGAGAAAACCAAACATTAAACCTACCAGCCTACACTTGTGCGAACAGAAGGTTAGGAAAGTGGCAACTGTATTTTATCCATGCTAACAAAACACAAAAAATTCCACAACAGGTAGCTCAATTCGACACGGGAAACCTTTCTCAAATGGTGACTTTATAAACAGTGCCTCACCAAAGACGCAAGAATAATGTGCCCGGATATCATTTATGAATTCAACAACGTTAGCAGGTCCAGACACAGAGTTGTGTGGGGAATCTAAACATCAAGTTTCAGATAAAGCTTGTGCTTTGGACTTTACTTGATTCCATGTGATGAGAGCAGAAATGCCAGACACATTTGGTAGCTTTTCTGTTGTTCAACAGCTGTAGTTAGCTTGCAAATAATTGTTCGCAAAGAAGCTTCCTTTACACTGCCAGTAAATGGCGATCCGAATGCTAACAGTTAGAAGGAGAACGGAATACCTGCATGGAAGCTAAGCCATGTTCTGCATGGTTTGTGTAACTTTGATGAAACCGAACAAACTCTTTGAAACATCACAGTCATACAGTAACACAAGGAAAAGACTAACCAATGGAGACAGCGATAGACCAGTAACTTCAGAGTTCTGCAAGGTTATATTTATGTGTTTCCTGAATGGAGTTAAATGGAGGCGTTTCTCATATTTCTCATTCTAAATATTGGCCTCAGTTCCACGTCAAAAATGGCTTTCTGACGATAAGCTTTTAGGATTGTGCTGCCTTTTATCTATCTACAGAGCTGTTTGGTTTGTATACTGTAGGCCTATCTAATGAGATTGCAAGGGTTGATTCTCTGATAAATAATACTGTTAGGATGGCGGTTATTATTCTTTAATGAGCAGCCTCCATACACTTATTATCAATTCCCTGGGTAGAATTGTGCAAGCTGACTGATGCTTTCTTCAACTCCTGACATATACTTTCAAAGCTTCAACGTATTTCACTCCCTTTAACCGCCTCTGAATTAGTGGAAGAGAAGGGGAATGGAATAAGTGATCTTCAGCCTATAATAAAGACCGAAATAGAGACTTTCCTCTCGGCGAAGCTGAGTACATCTATTTCCTTGGATATAGCAAAAATAAACTGAACTCCTAATCATGACTCACATTTGTTAATATCTAATATTTTACTGTGGTTTCTATGCATTATCAAAGATTGTATTTGTTTGTGGTAGATAGCAACTTGTTCTTCTTGCTTCAAATTAGACAATTTATCATTTGATAATTTAACTCAATGTATTTGTTGACCAATATAATCAGGGATTATCTTCAATCCTTTTAAGTAATATGGTGAGGTTTATTGTAAAGTAAAAAGGTACCAGAACCAAGTTTTTAGCACCAACCAATTTCATAACATATTGTAAATAATTTAAATATGTACAAACATCTAATTTAATTGAACAAAATAGAATAATCTCAGTCAGTCAAATCAACTACATCTAAAAAAAAAATCTTAGTTTCTAAGGACACTTACTCTCTCTGAAACAAAGACTAGAGACAGTATGTGCGGACCTGAGGTACAGTCAAGAGTCATTATGTAAGTATGTGCGTTAGCTTTTTCCTGCAACTTGATTAAAAAGCACACACCTGTCTTGTTGGAGTGGTTGTTCTCCTCTTGTTTGAGGATGTGCTTACATTCTTCCTGCGCCTTCATGTGCTGAACCACCAGGGCACAGTCTGGGTGGATGGCCTCTGTCTAAAAAGAAGAGAGAACACCAGAGTGGATATACATTTGAAGACAGTGATACTGATGCAATGTTTATTGGGTTGCTACTTATTTTTCTAGGCTACATTAGGGTCAATTTCCAAACATCTTTTATCAATCATTTTTCGATATTTCCATCGCATGCGTCCGCCTCAAGCAAAAGTGCTCCACCTAGCGTCTTTCTTTCTGAGTGCTCCGACTTTTAAGATTTCAGATATTTTCATGAAAATAATAACAAGAAACACTGGGAGGTTATTGTTTTTTTTTATTAAAAGCTGAGAGGAGAGTTTTCTCAACGCCTTGGTGTTGTTGTTGTTGTTGTTGTTTTCTGAGGGGATTTTTTAAAGGGTCTTTCCTTATGTCATGAGAAAAGCAAATGTCATTGACTGCATTCTTGTGCAGCGCTTTTCCAGCCCCTCTAAAAGCAACAACACAATTAAGCACTCACCCTTCCAAACATATTCAGTCGTGCATCGTTGGCCATGCCATTGGAACCAATTTGAGGTTGGTATTTTTCCCAGGGACACATTGACATATTGACCGGAATCAAACACCAACATTCCATTTGGTGGTCAACCGCTCTACCTCCTGAGCCACAGCCCCAATACAAAATTGAAACCTGGAAAAATGGCTCTTATGGAAGGATGGTTTTTTATCATTTTTCGCACCAGTGCTTGCCCACATGAAGCTATTTACATGCTGACTTTCAGGATTTTATTTCTGCGGTGACATTGTGACAACATTACAAATTAAAAACCTTTTAAAATCAATAATATTGATCGAGTACTGTTTCATTCTTAATTACTGAGGGGTGGATCTGTCCATCTTTCCGCTTTCCGCTCATGTGGATTTAATATAAACCTTGCCTATTACATATCTTCGCTGCACCTCTCTCCCCACTTGAGAACTCAGAGGGATGTTGGAGTTCCCCTCCAGTGATAAACCTCTGTACGGTAATCAGCCCCCCTGACAGCTCTAACGTGGGAGTTCAACAACTTTCGCTTTAAGTCCTGACATCTGCTGTCAAGGCTCCTCTGCCTTTTTCACGCCTTCTGAAGACCATAAAGAGGAGGAGGACAGAGAGACTCGTACAGGTTTATAATAATCCTACAAGATGTATCAATTCACATATGACAAGATTCCAGCAGTATCTCCACCCTGCAGTTAAATTAATTATATGCAATCGTGTAACAAAATGGATCCCTTCGGTGTCAAGTGAGACTAAAATCCCTATAATTGCTTCGAATGTATTTAATTGATTTCTATGATGAATCTATTTGGTGTGAAATATGCGAGCCGTCACAGGTTGAACACCTGCCAGTTGGACAGATGGAGACACTGCAGGAGAGAGTGACATTCGACCTTTATCTCTCACAGCGCTGCAGTGTCCAGGATTAAAATGAAAGGAGATGGACACTGTTATTTGCTCCTGGCCTCTTGTAGGACATCTACAGTCTTGTCTTTGTGTGTTTTTCCTTCATTTAACCAGTTGATTTTTTCATTGTGTTAGGAGTTCAAATTGAAAGATTACAACAACAAAAAAATGTATCGCTTCCCGAACAAACCAACATAAGCTGTGTACATTTTCCTCCCATATATAGAAATGCATGTGATATCCTCCCAAGCAGCGCCTATTCATTGACAGCAAAGAGAAACTTAAATTAACTAAATCTCAGTATTAGTCACAAAAACAACTAATTAAGCAAGTTTAATCTAAAGATTTGTGCAGATATTCAAACAATAATCAGGGATGCAAACTCATCAGGTATGAAAAAGGTGACAAGGATCCGAGCCCCCCGACCCCACGGAATATCAGCTTTAAAATGAGGAATAACAGGATTTTAGCAGTCAGAACAACTAAAGCAACAGTTAATAATAACAGAAACGCCAAAGAGTCACATCTAATAGAAATATATTTAAGCATTTATTTTAATTGTGTAGCAGTCAGTTTATAATTTTGGCAGGACTGTTGAGCATTTTGAAAATGTATTTTCAAGCCTCTGTGCAAGGCTGTCTTTCTATCTTTATAGCCAGTGGTGTAAAGTAACTAAGTTCATAAACTCAAGTACTATACTTGGGTACAATTTTTAGATACTTGTACTTTATTTAAGTATTTCAATGTTTTGCTACTTTGTTCTTCTTCTCCTCTACAGTTCAGAGGTAAATGGTGTACTTTTACTCTACTACATGTATTGAATACCTTTAGTTACTTCACAGATGTGGATGAATGATGTGAAATATAATCAAGTGTTAAATCAGACTTTAGTTCCACCTGGAGTAAATTCACAAGCTACCCTGCAGTATACAAAGTCATTCAAACTAGCTGCACCTTTACCAGCTTTGAGAACACTTTCATGATCAATAATTATAAAACATATCATATATATTATTCTGAAATTGACCAATCTGCACAATGACTACTTTTACTGTCGCTACTTTAAGTATATTTTAATGATAATACTTTTCTACTTTTACTTGAGGAACATTTTGAATGCAGGACTTTTACTGTAACAGAGTATTCCTACACTCTGGTACTTCTACTTTTACTCAAGTACAAGATCTGAGTACTTCTACTTTTACTCAAGAACAAGATCTGAGTACTTCTACTTGTACTCAAGTACAAGACCTGAGTACTTCAACTTTTACTCAAGAACAAGATCTGAGTACTTCTACTTTTACTCAAGTACAAGATACTTTTATGGCGCGTTTCCACTACAGCCCGCAGCCCGGTTTAAGAGGGCTGTGACGTCAGCGGCCCGTCTTTGGTTGCGTTTCCACTTGGCCTAGTACCGGCCGGCGGGTCCTAATTCACAGTTTTTCTAGCCCAGTTCCTAAACTGTAATGGAAATGCGCCATAAAGTGAGCCAGTCCTAACGAGGCCCAGCCATACCGAGCGGGGCCGAGCGAGGCCGTGTAGTGGAAACGCGGCATTATACCACCTCCGTTTATAGGCTATGAAAGAAACTATTTGAAAACGAAGGCTAAAGCTAACGTTAGCAGATAGTGACAATGTATGCTAGTTAGCTAGCTCAACGATTCATTAAATAATATTGCGACAGAAACACTTTTCAGTGCACATCACGCTCTGCTGCTCCGAACACCCCGTTCTAACCAGCGGTCCAGTCTGTGCCACAGTGACTCTGGACCGCACAGTTAATATTAACGAACGCACCGTAGGTAATGTAGCTGCTGAAGCTAGACCCTCATCCCGGAGCAGCAGAGCCTTATTATACATCCATGAGCAGAGCCGACAGGCAGGAAGACTTGTGCTCGCGCTTCATTATAATATATAAAAAAAGAACACCATGCGTGTCATGATGGCACATAACAGCTCGCGGCCGCAGATTACTCCGGGTCCCAGACACCCCCCATACCCCAAAAATATTTTTATTGCAGATCTACATGAATCACACAAACGACCTATTTTGGAATCAAAATGGCGAATTTCGCCGAAAGGTGACAAGTTTGCATCCCTGAATAATAATCTTATTAACGTAAAATGGCTCTAACATGACTAACTAACTGAATTATTTTGTGAATTATTTTAAGTATGAAAGATTGCTGCCTGGATAAAAACATTTTTTTTAATCTAGTATTACAAAGAAGCGTAGGATTTCTCCATCGACCAATGAGGTCCCAAGTGTGGATACTTCGAAATGGCTCGACAACAACACAAAACGTAAAAGTATTAGTGAAGATTAAGTAAGCAGATGTGGGAGAAAGGTCAACAAATGGGAATATTTTGTTTTCAATTGTCTTGAAATGCCTTTTGTAGGTTGAGACTCTTTATTTACATGACTAATAACCCCATCAGTTCCCCACATGACAGACTGAAAATGCTTTGAGATTGTAAGAAGAACATGGATTGTGGCGGAGGCTCCTATTGTCATATATTTTCCAACAGCTCTGAATGATTTCATTTTCTATTTTAGTCCATTTAATATGAAAAGGCAAAATATGTCAACAATTCAATTTGGGTGGCCCATAAACCCAAACATCAGCTATAGCCTACAGCAAATACAAATGAGTGAGTGTAGCTGAACATCTGAATCTGGCAGCACAGCCTCCCGATGACACAACACAGCGCAGTCATATCTGCCCTGCAGGTTTATGTTACAAACCTCCTTTACATTCCCAAGATGGTGACACGACATGCTGTCTTATAAAACAACACAATGTGTCAGGTAACAGTTTAATGATGTGCATTCTGTTGAACTTGTGTGTCTCTTTAAGTGAAGATCTGGAGTGCCATTTGAGCGGGCACTTTAATTATTGTAACCCTCGATCCTAAATGCCAACAGTTTACGTGCCGGCAATGTCATTTAAATTCAATCACTGCCTTGACCGGGTCATTATCGCGGGGCCCAGACTGCCTTCAGCAACCTTTACCGAGCAGCCATCATTTACATTCAGAATTTCAAAGTGATAGGTAAGGACAGGTAATTACCAGGGCTCTGATGTCATTAGTATGTGTGAGTGGGTGTGTGTCTCTTATTGGCTGTTTAATGTTTTCAATCTAAATCCTACTCCCAGGAAAAGTAATTTGCACTTTTCCTATAATTTTTACGCTGCTGATTCATAGGTTTATTGCATTCATCAGAACTCTCTCTTCTCATCCACATGCTGTATTACAGACATTACATTTTATTTGGCTGACGCTTTTATCCGAAGCAATTTAAAATAAGTGCCTTTAACCATGAAGATATAAACTCAAAATAAGAATCCTGTAAGTACGTTAGCTTTAATATGTCAAACGATGGTAATTGCTACTGCATTTGCTTCAAATAAGCTAATAAATAAGCTAAACATTCCTAAGTGCCATATACAGAAGTGAGATTTTGTTTTACTGTATGTAATTTTTGGCCCAGTTGCAGGAATAGTAGGAATAGCAAGAATAATTTGACATTTTAGGAAAATACTCTAATTTGCATCCTTTGCTTTCAAGTTTTCAATTATTCATTTAAAATGTAAATGAATAATTAACCGTTAATTAATTAAATTATTCATTCATTGACATCCACCTACAGAATTGGCACTTATAGACATTCATGGTTTCCAGATGATGAGTTCTTAAGATTTAATTGATCCCCTGAATTTAGCGCCAGCATGATGTTGAAATGTGTGCTTAAGAGCAAAATATCTCTGCCTATTGGATAGATCAACATGAAATGCAAGGCAGAGGTTCCCCTGAGGATAACATCCAAAGATTTTCCCTTTTCTGCCTAGATCCAGTCAACACAGTTTGTTAAAATTCCTGTAAAACTAAATATATTGTATTCTGCTCAAGCCAGCATTACAGAATTGAGTTCAACTGTTCCATGCCCTTTCACCAACACACACAGCCTGCCCCTGGACTGCGAGGCTAAAAGTTATGGCTACATTAATGTAGTTTAAATTGAAGGTCCCCCACAGTAACACAAAGAAACCTATATGTACCCATCTGTAGTTATGGGCCCTTATACAACACTGTTCAAGAGGACTGCGTGAAAAGGACAATGCACACGATGGCATGCTAACATTAGGAAATAGCTCAAACACCCCCTTCCCCAAGTAGGCTTACAGTACATCTTACATCAGAGAGCTGCTATCGTAACTGTATTTCCGTATTGATTTAAAGAAAACAGTTGTCCTCTAGGTTGCATTTTGTGTAAGAGAAAAAAGGTTCCAAAAAATAGTTTTCCTTTAATCCTGTTTGATTATGTAATTTGAAGATATTACAAGACAACCACCTTCAATTTATAAAAACAAAAAAAGGCCCAACGTTAAATATTTTTTGAAATATAACAAAGGCAGCTTCATTCTTTTTATTTTCAGACACAAAAAACCCTCCCAGCCTTTGAGTCTAATTACTCTATTACTGGCGCTATTTGTCCCCAAAATCAATCAACCTCCTTCCATTTGACAGAATACAGCCACCAGGAAAATGATCTCATATAATTTATAAATACTGGAGTCCATTCCTCCATGTTGACCTCTCTGCACGGGCTACCTGTGGCCTTTAGAAATCATTCAAAGTCGTATGGCTTGTTTGTAGGGGAGCGGTACGACATGCTGCAGACATAGGGCGGGGAGTTATTTTATAAATATGATGAACTTATAAATGATGATGCGTTGTTATGTATTTAAATACCCAACAGTTTATGAAGTAGTAAAGTAACTCTATAGTAGCCCTAGTATTTGGGATAATATATGCTAACAGTGGGGTGCCCATTGGAGTTATTGTAATGGTGAAAAAAAGCTTGGCTTATGTTCCGGGTTACTTACAATGATGGCAAGGCCATAATATACAGGTTCTTTTGTATGCATGGTTTTAAAATACTCTTATGAAATCCCGAAAAACGCTACTGAGGCACTGTCAAAGTGTGAGGCTGGTTGGGTTACACACTCCGTCATCTTCTTGGTGTTGGATAATGTTGCAATGACGTCTGTAGTGCAATATGATGCCTTTGTTCCTCAATATAGTGGAAGAGTCAATGTAAATGTACAGTATGTAAACATGTCAAAAAGTGCTGTTAGATGGTAATATATGGCCAACACCGGATGGAGCCAATAAGATGACAGCACATACATGTGGACGTTACAAGCATTACAACTCCACAGCAACAATGAATGAGGCGTTTCTAAAGATCTTCACCACCTCGATTTTTATAGAGCTCTGTTTTCAATGACCTAAAACCCGCCTGGGTGTTGACAAAAAGGAATGACAAAGCTATATTGATAAAAATAAATCCCTGTACACATGAAGACAAGGACCTAAAAAAGCTCACAGAATGTTATGAGACACATACAGTAGAATGTCAAAAAGAGCAGGAGACGGAGAGACGGAAATAAAGAGTGTTAAGGATGTGTGAACACTAAATCACTCCAGCCATGTTCACTCTGGACGCAATTATAGTGATCCAGCAGTTCAATAAGTGGCATTAAATGTCCATCCTGCTGTCACCAGAAGAACAATGATCTATAATGAAAAGGCAGAGAGGATCAAATGAGCACATTCTGAGTCTGTGGAGGAAGCAGCTAATAAAGGACTGGACAACACCGGATAATTGCCTTCAGGTTCATGAGAGACACGTCACTACACCAAATCCCCCATTAGGATTTGGACTCTGCTGAACTCTCAGAGGAGCACACAGTTGCGGGAGGTGAAAATCCTTTATAATGGCATTTAATCCAAGTTCAAATATGGATAAAATGGACTTTAAAGGGAATATTATTCACCCTGAATTGTGGCATTATCTTAAATTCAAACAGGTGCATCTGCAGACATATATATTAATGCTTTCTCTTTGCTGCTGCTGTCTGTCAGGAGCTAAAAGCAGCAGAGTAAAGTGAGTGTCTTTATCGCTGGTTCCTCATATAGATATTTAATTTATCAAACTTTCCTTAGGACACCAACACGGGGCAAAAAAAAGAAGAAATCAAGTCTATATGCCAAAAGCCTGGAATAACAATAATAGAAAGATTATCATTAAATAACCACTCAAAGACAAATGTATCATCCATCAGGGAATCGTGGTCGTAAATCAATTCAGATACGTCACACAGCAATAGGGCAGCAGGTCCATGTCTGCAGCTTCTCAGATGGAATATAGTTTGGTCGAATTATTCAATAAGTTATATAAAACTTTCTTACTGCAGAATAAGTCTTAAATGCACAACAAAATCTTAATCTTAATGATTAAATGAAAGAATGATAAGAAATAAACATCGCTCCTTATGATATTAAATCTATAACAAATTCATCCCCATTTCCTTTCCTTTCAAGATGGAAATATATGTAGGAAATATACACACTAAGTGATATCAATGCAAAAATAAAACAAATGTTAAGCCAATTAACAAATAAAAAAACAGGCACACCGTGAATCTTCAATATATTATTTCAACAAACTAAGCAGTAAGTGGACTCATCCTAGAACTCTTATATAATCTGCTTACTGATTGATACATTGGACACCATATGGAATGATGTTAGTCACATTGGTGTCATATCACCCCTTTAAAATTGACTGTTTTGTGCTGTACATGTGCAGAGCTAAGCGAACAACTAACTATTATTTGGAAATGAAATCAATAGAACCCTATAAGTAAACACATCATCATGCCAATCCTGAAGATCCACAGCCTTGTGTTGCGAGTGAACTCACCGTCTCCCACAGCGCCAGCTGCAGGAACATCCCCATGTGAAGCAATGTGGCCATCCATTTCATCCACGAGCATCCACAGATACTGAGCAGTAACATTCTGTAGGCTTGTTCGCTTGGAAAGACTCACGCGAAAAAGTCTTCGAGAGTAAGAAATGAGTTCCCTTTTCAAATGTCCAACAATCCATGAACTGCGCCTCTTGTTGGCCGTGTCCTCATGTGAATGTCTCTTCGGTGCAGGAGGAGGTCTGCGTTACGCGCGGAGGAGAGCCGGGACTCGACTGAGAGCCAAACAAGGTGCGCTCCTCCCTGAAAGGCAGACGGAGCGGAGCGCACAGCTGCGCGCGGACACACGAGAGAGGACAGGATGAGGAGCCAATATCAGCACACATATTCTGTCGTAATCACATGCGTAAAACTTACACTAAGAATAGGGCCACATAATTATGTCTGTACATATCAATATACTAACCATTATCAGCAAAATACCAGAGGCTATACTGCACACCAGGACCACTAAGATGTATATTTCCAGAAGTAAATGGACCAAGCTTTAGAATAGGGCTCAATACACTTCAAATGTATTTATAACATATAATTATTAACATTATCTAGAATTTGAGAGAATTCCTGTTTTATTTAGAAATATCATGAGCTAAAACATGTAATACTAACCAAATCCCCTGAAAATACAACCCTAAATATCAAATGGTCCAAAACATTTATTTCATCACTCTAAATGTATTTATTTATTATTATTGGTTTGTATAAAAGCTGGTAATCCACTCTTTTCTACCAAAGTCACTGCAAAGGTTACGAAAGTCACTTATAGGTAAAGTGCTAAGTCTTTGGAAAGAATACATTACACAACTGTCATTTAACATTTATAAGCAATAGATCACGACCAGTTTAAAGCTATATGTAGCCCTTTCTGGCCTGGTATAGCTGATAAGGTGATTAATGATAATACAATGGTTTTCTTTGGTGCAATGTAAATGCTGCCTTTTGCATGCTATAACACAAACAAGCTCATGTTTGCATGTGTGTGTGTGTGTGTGTGTGTGTGTGTGTGTATGTGTGTGTGTGTGTGTGTGTGTGTGTGTGTGTGTGTGTGTGTGTGTGTGTGTGTGTGTGTGTGTGTATCCAGAGTGTCCTGTAGTACAGTTGGGATGCCCTTGTAGTTGTGTAAATGTTACATTACTCAGGACACTTTATATAAACAGTTAGAATAAACACACACACTGCAGGTTGACAGCCCAGCGGGTGTGTGGTTGTGTGTGTGTGTGTGTGTGTGTGTGTGTGTGTGTGTGTGTGTGTGTGTGTGTGTGTGTGCGTGTGCGTGTGCGTGTGCGTGTGCGTGTGCGTGTGCGTGTGCGTGTGCGTGTGCTGGAGGCACCTTGCACCTTGCAGAGGTCGATAGCTGACAGACAGTCTTTGTCTTTTCCAACAGAGCGCCAACAATGAATTTCCTGCAGATAGGAGAGTGGGGGTGCTCTAATACAGGGATTAGGCTTGCATATTATTATTTAATGTTGGGGCTTAATTTATATTGCCGGCTGCAGTCTGGAGCTTGACCAAAGCTTCAAATAATGCATAGATGTGTATGTTTTGCATTTCTGCTGTGTATTTGTCATGTTGCAGGAACAAACGTCCAGTACCCAAATTAAACCCTTCTGAAAGCCACTAATTGTTGCTATAAGGACAAATCTTATTCTTGAAATACTGGATTATAATTTACATTGTATGCGTGGTCACTTACAGGTTCACCTCCAAATCAGTGGTTCAGATAGATCTGGCTGAATTTGGGATTTCATTCTGATCTAAAAAATAAAGGCTTTGTATTTGTCCACAGATGTCACATGTGTTTCTAGAAAAATAATGACCAAATCTTTCAAAACATCCCCTCTCCACACATCCTGATCTTCCGCAAGTCTCATAAACTCTCCACTGCTCTCTCCGTCCACCTCTTGATATCCGTCAGCCATTCTCCCATTGGCCTTCTTGCATCTTCCATAAACTGTATCGTGCATGATGTTATTAGCTAGCAATCCTTTGATCTTGTTTTATGTTTATGACTTTCGCCGTCTAGTCATTTCCGCAACAGTTCAACTGGGCTTGACCAAGCTTTATGAAAAAATCCCTTCAAAGCCACCTAGTTTTGACCTCTGGTAGCCCAATAGAGCTTTTCTTCTGAGCAACACATACATGTTTTGGTAGGATACATGTCAGCAATGCACACTACATTGTCAAATGTGAAACAAAAGTATCTGATGTGCTTTCTACAGACATCTTTGAGCATTGACATGGCCCCCTTCTCGGTTACTCCAAATATGTTCCTTCATGGATATGTGCTGGCTTTCAAATAGCATTGCTATGTACAGTTATGTATGTGTGTGTGTGCGTGTGTGAATGTATGTATGTATGTATGTATGTGTGTGTGTGTGTGTGTGTGTGTGTGTGTGTGTGTGTGTGTGTGTGTGTGTGTGTGTGTGTGTGTGTGTGTGTGTGTTGTGGTTAATGTTGGACTCCTGCTGTTTGCAGCTGCAAATGTCCCCAGACAGCCCACAGAGACACTGTGAGGCTCTGGATCTGAAACGGAAATCAATAAAACAGATGTGTCACTCTTCACCTCAAAACTTCATCGCTGCTTTTCGTGTAAAATAAAAGTTATTGTGTGACACTTTCAATCATTAGGGATATATTTGGCCAGTGGTGAGCCGTGAGTTTTATACCTAGGCCCTCTGACCCCCCACCCCCCCGTCACAGCGTATACTTCAGCGGAATATTAAAACAACGGCCTGGGGTGCAAAACGCATCAATGAAAGCGACCCTCTACCACACAAAACAACACCTGTAAATAACCCAATTTGTGTTCTTTGAAATTGAAAAGGATATTGCATTGTGTTTGTTACTTTCGTTGCAGTTGTATGTCTAAAGGCACAGACACACCAGGCCGATTATCGGCGTCGGTGGGCGTCAGGCCGACGATGAGCGTCGACACGCCCTACTCAGATTGGTGTGTCCCGCACCGTCGGGTCTTTTCAGCTGGGCCGACGCCTTTTCGGCCGAAAACCCTGGGCAGTCGGCCAAAGGCAGTCGGCAAAATAAATCACCCTGATTGGCTGTTCAGCTAGCGAATCAGTGCATGAGAAGCGAAACGGAAGTGAGGGACCCAAACAAACTATTAAGAAGGCAAATCTGAGATTTCATTTAACTCCAGCTCTCGACACAGGTTCGGGAAAGCCCCATGAGCTTCTCATTGTAGAGTGAAAATGGAACGCACACGCTATTTGTTGTTTGTTTATATCACGCAGTCTGTTCTTCTTCTCTCGGTGTATCACGCAGTCTGTCTTCCGGTTGTTGCCTCTTTTGAATGACGAATACACACTACCGCCGCCTGCTGGTAAGGAGAGTTATTGCCACTCACGCATGCGCAGTTCGTACGTGCTTCTTGGCCGTCGGCTGAAGTCTTTGCGGTGTGTTCCAGTGCGACACATGGCCAAGACGCAGAGACGCGAGGCGACACAACAGTCGGGGTCCGTCTGTATCAGATCTTTGTTGTCAGATTGGTGTATCCGGGCCTTTAAGTGTAATTTGGCATGCTTTTATTTTGAAGGCGAGTTTACGCTGTTGACAGGAAGTTGTTGTTGCTATGGAAACAAGAAAATAGCTTCACAGCGGGCGGAACTTGTCATAAAGTCCGCGATAATAAAACCCACCCATTTAGAGGGAAGATGTGATTGGTCAATTGTACTGTCATTTGACATTACTCTCTCGTTCAGTTGCTATAGCGGGCCCTCTGTGAATTTACAGCAGGACCACCAATCCAATCAGCTCCTCTCTTCACAGTAACTCGCAGAGACGGCTAAAGGAGCTTCTTTCATTTAACCCTTCACATTCAAACAGAAACTGAATAGGCAGATTCGAAGGATTTATTTCTTTGGAAATGTTATTTTAAATCAAGTTATTTTGGCAAAACTAATGAAAAATATAACAAAAAAAATATTTAAAAAAAATATATTTTAAATAAATATATATTTTTTTAATGTTTTTAAATATTATTTTGTAGAATATCTTAGGCCCTCAGAGAGGGCCTAGAGGGCCCTGACGGCTCGCCACTGGATTTGGCATCATAGCTGTCTTATTCTTGTCTTTACTACATCACTGTCACTCCATAACATACAGTAATTTCTTTAACGACTTTATGGCATTTTCCTTTTTGCAATGTCCACAGATCAGAACATGTTTTTGTTTGCACACAAATTAATAAAATTATGGTGGAATTAAAGAATTTCCTACTTCCTTCGTGATGATATCAAAAGATACACTGCTACTTGACTCCCCTGCATCCCCCCTTTTATAATCTTTATTTATTATTTCCTGACGTTTCCATAAAAAACACTTGTTTGTCCAATTCCTTTAGAAAAACACAACGGACCCTTATCAAAAAACCCTTTTCCTTTTTCTTAACCAAAAAAGGGATGATGGTTAACACGAAAACAATAACATCGGCTGCTGGTTGGAAACGGGAGGAAACAGCGATCTATTTTTCCAATGGGTTGTTTTATTAACGCTTCTAACCTACTCGACCTCCTTATCCTCATTCTATCTTAATGTCTACTTTACTCAGGTCATTATTCATGTGGCCACTATGAGTGCTTTGACAAGTTCTTCTTCAGGGGTCTGTCTCACAAAAACATAATATTGGAAAAATGCTATAATCCCATCCCATTCTGCACATAGCAAGCTTTATGTGAAAGACCTGCAGTCTTCTCTTGTGCTCATGTTATGCAGATTGTTGCTCCGACAAGACGAAAGGTCACTAGTGTCAGTGTGTAACCAGCTGTGGCTGGATGATGTATTGGGGGGAGAGTCAATACTGAAGAACAGCTTCCGGAAAAGTAACACCCTGACACATGAAGTTTACTTCATAGGTTTTGGAGCACGTCTTAACAAGACCTCTTATCCATAACACAGTCCTACATTCTCCTTTCTACCTCATTGTTACTCACATTCCCTATTCCTCTATTCCCTTCACCCCTCATCCCTTCTTATTTAATATGGTGCATACTTCTTTCCAAGTGGTACCGTCCACTCGG